ACCTGTTTGTTGTCTGCTTGTGAACAAGCTCGAGGTATTTTTCCTGTCGTTATCATTCGAGAGCACAAACAAAAAGTTTGTTACTTTACAAGCGGGAATTTTGATTCGACGTATTTGTCGACCATGTTGTCATATTTCCACGCCATCACTCGAATCTGTAGAAGACATCATTACGAATCCACACAAACATTAAACAGATGATCCAAATTGAATCATCATCAACAGCAGCAGCAGCAGCAGCAGCAGCAGCAGCAATACCACCATCACCACCAACACCACACGGAGTTCAAACACTTCACCTTCACTCTCGTCGTTTTCTTGTTCTGACCCAACACGCTCTCCCCGTTCTTCTTCTTCATCTCCACCCAAATTTCATCCTGTAGATCCACAACTGTTTCACCATCCCCCTCCTCCTTATCCCCCTTTCCTCCTCCTCCTCCACCTCCTACCGCTTGCAGCACTGAATTCATCCTGATGCTTGCCCTCCCGATCAGATCCTTGAATTTCCCTCGGTTCTGCTCACATATCAGAGCCCTCTTTCTCCTTGTCCGTCCTCTTCCTCTTCCCCTTCATACCTCCTTCACCTCCTCCAACTCTTCACTCTGTACCCTCTTCCTCCCTCCGCCCTCTGCCCCCCGCCCCCTCCTCCCACACGCCTTCCCTCGCTTCCCCTCACATCATCGTAGAGCATCAGCGTCAGGTCCATGCTGAGTGAGTCGATCGCAAACACAAACTGTAACCATCGATCAGTCCCATCCTCCTGCTCATCCTCCTGCTCATCCTCCTGCTGCTCCTCCCTCCCTCCCCTCCTCCCTCCCTCCCTCCCTCCCTCCCTCCCTCCCTGTCCTCACCTCTTCATTCCATGACCCCGCGTACTTCCCCACGCCGTCTCAGTGTGGTAGGTTGTCTCCCCGCAGCAGATCTCCAGCAGCGGGTCGCAGGAGCCCATCCTGACGGGAAGAGGAGCAGGAGGTGAGTACAAGCAAGGTGAGCAGAAAAGAAGCAAGGGCAGCAGCAGCAGCAGCAGCAGGAGCAGCCGGCAGGAGCAGCCGGCAGCCGGCAGCAGCCAGCAGCCGCAGGAGCAGCTGCCAGCAGCAGGAGCAGGATCAGGAGCAGCAGCAGCAGCAGCAGCAGGAGCAGGAGCAGGAGCCAGCAGCAGCAGGAGCAGGAGCAGGAGCCAGCAGCAGCAGCAGCAGCAAGAGGCTCCTACAAGTCCATCTTGGGCACGTTCTCGAACTCCAGCGCCTTCACCACCACGTGCGTCACCTCCTCCAGCTCCATCGACGAGGAGCCCAGCAGCCCTTTCGTCTCCCACCTGCCGGACCCTCCGGTCAGCCTCCTCGCCCCTCTCTCTCTCCCTCTCCCTCCTCCTTTCCCCCTTGCATCTTCTTCCCTCCCCATCTGGTCCTCGTCCTCGTGGTCCCCAAGCAGGAGCAGGAAAGGAGGAGGAGGAGGAGGAGGAGGAGGAGGAGGAGGAGGAGGAGGAGGAGGAGGAGCCAGCAGCAGGAGCAGGGAAGAGAGGCTCGTACTTGAGCGTGAGAGTGACGGTGGTTGGCTGCCATGCGGAGTGAGTCACTTGCTGTATCCCTCCTCCAGCTCTTGTCCTGCTTCTTCACCTTCGTCGTCTACTACTACTGCTCACTCCTTGCTCTTGCTCCCTCCTACTCCTTACTCAGCTGTCCTTCTCTCTGTACCTCTGCTTCTTGTGCTCCTGCTTCTCCTGCCTCTGGCTCACCTCCCTTCTCCCTCCTCGACCTCTTCCTGACTCACCATCGTTTCCTCTTCCTCTTCCTCTCCTCTTCTTCTTTCCTTCCATCACAACCTCCTGCTCCATCCTCTCTCCTCTCCCTCTCCTCCTTGTCTTGGGCTCTCACCTCTTTGTTGTGTCCCAGCACCACCTCTCCCTGCACTCCCTGCGCGTCTCCTCAGCCGCGAGCTCGTCGCTTCTCTCACCTACCGACAGGTGGTTGACGATGCTCTCCGACAGCTCCACCAGCCCTTCTGCATCGTTGATCAGCCCCTCCTCCCTCCTCTGCCTGCTGCTGCTGCTGCTGCTGCTCATCCTCCTCTCTCCCATCCCCACACCCTCCGTCCTCTGCCTGCTCCTCCTCCTCGACCACCGCCTTCTCCTCCTCCTTCCTCTGCCTGCTCCCATGCTTCTGCTGCTGCTGCTCCTCCTCCTCCTCCGCTACCCCCCGCTCTCTCTCACTCACGCTGCTTCCCGACATACGGGGTCAGGTCGATATATCGAGCTCCGATGAACTGCAAAACCTGTTAGTCCAGCAGACGCTTCGCCTTCCTCTTCCTCCTCCTCCTCTTCTTCCTCTTCCTCCTCTTTCTCTTTCTCGTCCTGTTCTCCTCACCTCGCTCCCTGACAGCTTGTTCCAGTCCATCACCTTGATCAGCAGCCCTGAGACCTTCTCCTGCTCGTCGCCGTCAGCTCCTCCTCCTTGTTCTTATCCTCCTCTTTGCCCCCCTCCCCCCTTGTCCTCCTGCTTCAGGTACCTTGTGATAGTCGAGGATGTGGAAATCCATGCGCTCCTCGTCGGTATAGGTCACGTCATACCTGATCTGCTCTCAGCCGTCTGCTGCCCCTCCTCGGCCTCCTCTGCTCTCCTCCTGCTCCTCCTGGGGCTGCTCACTGCTTGCCCTGACAGAAGGGAACTGCTCTGCTCTGCTCTGCCCTGCCCTGCCCTGCTCTGCTCTGCTCTGCTCTGCTCTGCTCTGCTCTGCTCTGCTCTGCCCTGCTCTGCTCTGCTCTGCTCTGCTCTGCTCTGCTCTGCTCTGCTCGTGATTGATATGGATCCTTCTCTTCGCCTCCTCCATCCCTTGGCTCTCAATCTCTCTCCCTCCC